AGAGAGGAAAGGGGAGCGGGCGCTGGAGAAGAAGCGGGAGCTGGAGAAGCGGCTGCAGGACGTGAGCGGGCAGCTCAACTCGGCCAAGAAGCCGCCCAAAAAAGGTGAGTGGCGTCGCGATAGTGCCGGGCGGCGTCACGATAGTGCTGGGCGGCGTCGCGATAGCGGTCGGTGAAGAAGCCACCCAAGAAGGGCGAGCAACGGGGTCCACAGCGTCGTGATAGGGCTGGGAGTAGATCAAGTTGGCCCAAGAAGCCACTGAATAAAGGTGAGTCCTTGGGTTTGGAGCGATCGGTGTCGTGATAGTAGCCACGGGGACGTCACGATAGTAGGCTGACCAAGAACCCGCTCAAAACAGGTGAGTGATGGGGTCCGTAGTGTCGCGATAGGGCTGGACAGTGTCACGATAGTGCTAAGTGGCGTCATTAGCAGCTCAGCTTGGCCAAGAAGCCACTAAATACAGCTGAGTCCTTGGGTTTGGTGTGACCAATGTCATGATAGTAACTGGGGAGGCATCACGATAGTAGCCTGACCAAGAACCCGATCTAAAAAGGTGAGTGTTGAGGTCTGTTGCGTCACGATAGGGCTGGGCGGTGTCACGATAGGGCTGGGAACAGCTCAACTTGGCCAAGAAGTCATTGAATGAAGCTGAGTCCTTGGGTTTGGAGCAACCAGCGTCACGATAGTAGCCAGGGGGTGTCGCGATAGTGCCAGACGATGCCATGAGCATCCCAGGAAGCCACTGAATAGAGATGAGTCCTTGGGTTTGGAGCGACCGGTGTCGCGACAGTAGCTTGGCCAAGAAGCCGCCCAAAAAAAGTGAGTGGCGGGGTCCATAGCGTCGCGATAGGGCTGGGCAATGTCACGATAGTGCTAAGTGGTGTCATAAACAGCCCAGCTTGGTCAAGAAGCCACTAAATACAGCTGAGTCCTTGGGTTTGGAGTCACCAATGTTGTGACAGTAGCTTGGCCAAGAAGCTGCCCAAAAAAGGTGAGCATCAGGGGTGTCAGGGCCGAGTGCCGTCGCGATAGGGTCGGGCGCCGTTGCGACAGGGCCGAGTGAAGAAGCCACCAAAGCAAGGTGGGCATCGGGGGTCCGCGCCGTCGCAATAGGGCCGAGTGAAGGAGTCACCAAAGCAAGGTGAGCGTCGGGGGTCCGCGCCGTCGTGATAGGGCC